TTCTTGTATGCACAATGTTCCCTGGTGTATAAGCGCCTCTCTGCCATCTGAAGCCGAGGTTACCTATGAGCTTTTCATCTTCTGAAACGTCACAAGTCACCCTGTTCCGACGAATTGCCTTCGGCTCTTCTCAAGGATGTAAGTCTTTCCTTTCTGAAGTAACCATCTTCCTTCAAGAGATTTGGAACACAGAAGTCTTTCCACCCGATTGGAGCTCGCGGACATCGTGCCTATCTTCAGAAGTGGTGATCGAACAAATTATACCAACTACTCAGGGATCAACACACGTTGTGTCCAAAGCGCTAGCCTCCCTGCTTTTACGGAGACTCTGTCGAGTACGGGAGCAGCGTACGTGAAGAGCAGGGTGGGTTTCGCCTATGTCTCAGCTGTATTGATCATATCTTTACAATCCGTAAGATACTCGAGCACTGATGCGCTTTTGTCCGGCCTACCATCGTTTGCTTCCTGTATGTACGCGCAACACTTGACTCGGTTGATCGTACTAGGCTTCTGAGTTATCTGCTGACAAGGGGAGTGTACGAGAAGTATGTTAACATTCTTCAAGTCATTTACTCTCGGGCAGAGTGTGAGTGTACGGCAGACTTTCGCTCCCATTTCGTTTCACCAGAGGCATGTGACTGGCTTGCCCCGCATCACCCTTCCTGTTCAGGTTCGCTATGTATGACATGTTAGAAAATGCTGACGACATCACCATAATCTGTGACACTTCAGAGGCTGTCAAGGACATTCTACACAGGTTGGAGATGTTTGTCTCACAGTTCGGCATAACTTTTGCCCCTTGCAAGTGCAAGGTTTTCCTCCAGTACTGGTTAGAATCTGCTCTTATCCTTACTTTCTCCGAATTTTCTTTGAAAATGATCCACAACTTCGTCGTCCCGTGGCCTTAAGGATTACGAGCCTGTATTATTATCCGAGGGCGCGGGTTCGAGTCTGCGTAGGGGACCGGACGACCGTCGCAGTCTCCTTATCCGAGGTGGGACTGCTGGTGGTTGCGTGGCAGCGTAGTGTCGGTATTGTGTACTGTCGTACTGCTGTCACCTTTTACCTTGGGAATTGCACTAGCGTGAGCAGATCAACGGATGAGGTGAATTTACGCATCTCCAAAATCAGACTAGTCTTATCCAACCTCCGCTACCTCTGGCGCCGGCGTGCTCTCAGGCTTTCACTGAAAGGCCAGATCTACAACGCTACGGTTCGAACTATGCTACTGTATGGCTGCGAGAACTGGCCCGTTCTGACAGGTGATGCTGTTTGTTTTCGATCGCCACTGCCTCCGGAGCACCGCTGGTGTGCGTTGGCAGCATCGCATTTGTAATGATGATGTTCGACTTCGGATTTTTGTGTCAAGCAATCTCAATCGACCACTGAACTGCGCAATTTGCTTGCGTGCGTTCCGATGGCTCGGGCACGTTCTCCGTTCTTTTGCTCAACGGTTGGTATACTGCGCTTCGTTTGCACGCACCGGTCTATACTTGTGCATGCGTGTTGAGCTTCTTGTATTTCGGGTGTTTTCTGTGGATTGATATCCCGGTGTGGCTGTGTCTGATGTGAATGTTTACAAGTTGGCTACCTGTCTAACACCCTTCACCTCGATCATTGACTCTAAGAGACAGTTGTTCGTTGCTAGGAGGACGGGGTGCACGATGTTTGTGACTGTTCTAGGTTCAAAGGGTGGTGCAATGCACTTAGTGTGGAAGGGGCTACGGCCCAGCCACCGCCCTTTGTACGTCTGATACGCACGATTCCTAAATTAGGTAGACAAGAATGCAGCAGTAGCTGCTGTTGTTTTTGTACACGTTGAAGAAGTATGGGCGGCTCCGTTACTGAAACGTGACTCCTATCCACATGCCTCTCGGTTCTATTCGTTTGGGTTTACAGTCGATATGGTGCATGTGGATGAAGCTTTGGGTGGTGGAGCACAAGCAACCCATTGTCGATTAGTAGGCGCGGGCGTCCTGTAGCTGTCCCCATGGAGGCCGAAATCGGATGCCATCATATATATATATATATATATATATATATATATATATATATATATATATATATATATATATATATATATATATATATATATATATGTATATATTTGGTTGGCGGCATCCGGTTTCGAATTTGCCTGACACTGTGGGCAGCCACAGGACGCCTGCGCCTACAGAAGGACCATGGGTGGCTTGCGCTGCACCATACGCAGCTCCATCCACACACCCCTTGATATCCCCGGTGTGGCCGCGCTTGATGTGCATGGTGACAAGGTGCCTACCTATCTATTGCCCACTACCTCGTCCATACTGGCTCTAGGCGACAGTTGGTCGTTGCTGGAGCGGACGGGGTGCATGGTCCTTGTGGCCGTGCTAGACTCAAAGAGTCGTTCCATGCACTCAGTGTGGAGCGGACTACGGTCCAGCCACCTCCTTGTATGCGCTTGATTCCCAAATACAGCGTGCTTGTGTTTGCCTGTGAAGGAGTGTGGGCCGGCTCCGTTGATGAAACGTGGCTCCCATCCACATGCCTCCCGATCTTATTCCTTCGGGTTTACACTGGGTATATATATTCGCATTATGGGTCTGTGCTCTGTGAAATAGAACTGAGACGATTCCAGAATGCACATGCTTTTGGTGACCTGAATTGTAGTGAAGTGCATTACCTGTGTCCGCCGGCTTACGTAATGTTGTTTTTAGACTACCTACATTCTTGTGACCTATTCAGTCATTAAATGGCAGTGTACCACTGCAAGATTCCGATTCCTCAGTGAACATTGCGGGCGCCTACAATCCTGGAGTAGTGTTTTACATCTGGCTGGGGTAAGGTACAGGATGCCTCCGTCGCACTGCGGTTCAACGTGCTTTGTACGACCTGTGAATCGTCCAATAGCACAACGACATCATCGGCGTAATCTAAATCTGCGACCCTATCTCATGGGAGAAGCGCATTGGCACAGTTCTCGACACCTACTACTCGATGGGCAACATATTAGATGGCGAAATTGAAGAACAAAGGTGACATAGGGCAAACTTGGCGAACGCTGTTTTTACTGGTAAACAAGGAAGAGCGTATTCTAAGCCCTAACTTTGGCCAATGTGTGACACTGTACAGTTCTTTCAGGAGGGTTACAAATTTGTCTGACCCACTCTGATAAACAGTTCCACGAAGGCGACCTATCAACTGAGTGAAATTCGTCGTAATGTGAAGTTGGTGTCTTGGCAGCAGAGTACTTCATCATAAGAGCGAGGAGATCGATATCAACAGATTCTCCAGCAGAGCCCGAAACTCCCCATTGATGGCAAGAGGTTGCACTCTTCCACACCACTAAAGTACCTTGGTATCACGCTTAGCTACGATTAATCTTGCTAACACCATATAAACGAAACATACACAAAATACAGGTATTCTTTCTGTGCCCCACGTCAGCAAACTTCCTCTGTCCCCCATGACTTAATGCTTCGTTTTATCACTGCCTGTGTTCCGCACTAGACGCACTGCGCACCAGTGATTTTTCTGGCCTATTGTGTAAGCACTTCAGGTTAATATCCAAATCGTTAAAACACTTGTCGCGTTGTAGCGGTAAATCAAGGATGACTTTTGTTGTTACACTTGTGTCCACATATGTTGACTCTTGCAAGAGACTAGCGTCAGCATTACTTGTCGACAAAACTCACCCCCCTCATTGTGTATTGTCGGAATGTGTCCCGACCTCATCAAACAGACAGAAGTATACATCCACGTATGCCCTCACAAAAACTTATCGTCCATCAGTTATTCCTTACCTAACGCGAGGGGTCCGAAATACGCGCGCTACTGAATCTACTCAACAGGTTGAAACTGCAGTCTAGTGCTTTTCCGAGCATGTAGAAGACTACCTGATTTGGAAGCTGGTGTGACGGACTCACAATTAATTACAACCAAAAGCTCCTACTCTTGACTACATCAAAACAGATTTTTCCAAGAATTAACCAACCAGATTATGCTGTTATGGTATTGTTTCTTTTCTATATTTATTATTTCATCTTTTCTAACGTACTTTTCTATCATGCTACATCGCTGAAAGCAAGTGTGTTACTGCCAAATATTCACCCGTTCTGGGTGCATCAAGCACTTGAATTGAATCTGAGAGTTCGGTTGCATGCCGAGATACGTCCCGGTTACCTAGGCCGATGTAGATAGATTTGTTGGATGACCACAACCGCGAGCCATTGGCCGGAGGATCTAACCCACAAGGCAGCGGAGCGAGACAGGGAGCCGGTAACTGATCACTCGGTTCATACGCCCTTCGGATGGGGATAATTTCAACCAGGTACCCGACACTCCAGACTTCAGAGGCGGAATCCGATGCTCGGATTGCTTGCCAATTTTTACTCACGTAGGAAAATAAGGAGTAGTGATTATTTAGTGGCGAGTTACATCCACCACATCGCATTATGCCGCAATCTGCAAGGCTGTCTCTGATTTTGTTAAGTAGCGCTTGGAGTCGTCTTTCTGTTAACACCATAATCAACCTTATCCACTTCAAAACTAGTTGAGCTGTTCGCGTGAGTTCTGCTGAGAAACTCATCAGAACTCTGCAATGATTTGATACGCTAATCCTTGCGGATGACATTCAAGAGATGTAGAGCGACGAAGCGAACCCATCAATCAGGATCGAGTGAGAGCAAACACATCAACGTGCGTTGAAATTTGGTGCCGCGAATGCGAAACAGACAGGGGAACCAAAATGATGCTACCGTTTCAGATGACACGGCTCTCTCGAATGAGGGATGAGCATACAGCCGGTGTGCTCTCATCGACCCGTGCGGTTTGCTGATCCACAACAACTGCTTCCATGCCTTAGGTGAATAAGCTAACAATGTAGGTGGCTCCTACCGTTTTTGTGTCTACTAAATATCGTATGTGTGTTACTGGGTTAGGTTCTCCCGGTCCGTGGGTGATGACTTTCGACCGGGCATTCTTGTACTCAGTCGCACTGTTGTCTGCTTTACTTTTAGATTGATCCCGTTGCGGCCACACCCACGAAACCACTCAGTCCTCCAAGGTCAACCAAAGATAGAATTATCGAAACACGAACATATGATCTGTACATAACTTACGACAAGTATTACCAAACGTCTCGTTTGTGGCTCTATGGATATAGTGAAGACATGACCCCCCTGACTGAAGAGCAGATGTATGAGGATTTCAGGTACGTATTTGTGGTTGTGGTATGGGTCCAGCTACTTCCTTTTTTTCTCGGGCCTCGGCTCTTCTTCCCTTAAGCGTGCTCCATCTTCACTCACTACTATTCCTTGTTGGTTGTCCTTCTGCATTTTTCCACTCTTCTGACAAGGATTGTTACCCGTTCGGATTCCCGTCTGTTATCTATGCGATTCGCTGTTGAGGTGATCATTGTTACTTCGTAGAAGCGTGAAGTTGCTTGTGCCCACTGTGCATGATAGGCTTCACGTCCCTTCACCTCACGTTCTTTCGAGTGTTTCAATCGCTTCCCGTCAGCTCACCTTAAACCATCTCCATCACACGTCTGGTTCCTAACGATGAACAGCCATAGCGCATTGGTCAATGGGGGGGGGAGGAGGGTTTACAGGCATCTGCAGTGATAATAACTATACAGTCCACTGATTATCCTGTATTATGCATGAAGGTTCTACATAGCTTCCATTGGTCATTCGGCTGGTAATTCGACCAACATACTGTGGCGTACGTTTTTTCGACGGATGGAATACCCAAGTATTGTTTGTGTGTTGTTTACCAGCCGCTGCATGCACAAATCTGTAAAATTTCAACTTACTGTGGTTCCTTCGGTACTTTTCATTTGCACATCGCCACATTGCTTCTATCAACACAATGAATGTATAACACTTACCCAACTTGTTTATGCTATCTCTACCGATTTGTGCTCAAAGCCCTATTGCAACCCATCCGTTATTTCACTTACCAAACTTAACCTAATTTGACTATTGTATTTCCTACCATCCAGTCAGGATCACGCTAAAAAGACAGTAACCATGGAGCAACACCCCCATCTTTCTGGACCTCCAATGCCATCGATCCATCCTTGTCGGCAGGCAGATGTAATGCGCAAGTTAATTGAGACTATGGCCGATTGCGGAGCTGAACTGGCCGTTCATCAGTACATTATGGTGTTCCTCAAATTCGTTCAGGCCGTCATTCCAACCATCGAGTACGACTATACTCGAAATTTCTCCATGTCTTAGCCACATTTTCCGATACTTGTTTCTCCTTATTACCTTTTTGTCTTTCTTCACTATAGTCGAGTCGCTTGTTAACCTTACGAGCTGAGTTCTTTAGGCGCCGCCCCCTCTTCTTAGAGACACTACTTTTTGCGTCACTCGGGATTGGTCAACTATCCGCTTATTTTGTCGTTCCTACAAGCCAATCGTGATCGGAAAATACAATCTACAGTTTTTCTGATATTTTTCATTGTCTTTTTGATTTCGTTTTAAACAGCCATAGCGAAACCGCCATTCTTCCAATATGAGCTTTCAGATTAATACAATTCGTTTGTGCATTCCAGTGTTCCTCCGGGTTTTGTCGTTTGTTGTGTCATCTGGGATTTGAACATTGCTAAACAACAGTTATTATATTTCGCTTATGACCATATTTTGTTTTCGGGCTCAAATCGTGCAAATCACTCTCCTCCACAGACCGTTCGGTAGTGGGGCGATCACAATGAGTTGACATGTCTGCATACCATTTTCTTCTGATAGTCAGCTTCTTTTCCCTCACATTTTCTTAACGTTAGGATCTCCGGTAAATTTCATGCAACTTTTTCCCTTTGGGACCTTTAAAAAAGCAAAACTAACAACATTTTGCGTAGTAACTTGGATTCAGTTACTGTATTCTGATTCTGAGGCGTACATACATACTGCGGCAGAGGCAAATGAATTCCAGTGATAAAGGCTCAGTACAAGTAATCAAATACAAGCTGTAATAACTGAGATCATTTCTCCCAGTGACCGAACCTACACCTTCCATATCAAAGCTAGGCTCGCCACGAGGTCAATTTGTCTGCGCAGGTTTTGGCTTCAGTCACCGGATATCGGCAGCCTCAGAAAACTGGAACAGATTTGGCATAACTCATATACTACTCGTCTCGAATGATTCTTGGGAGTTTTCGCAGATAGTACAGTCAAGTAAATACAAAGTGAAGGAACTGGAAAACAGCTTAGCACTGCATAACACGAGGTCCGGCCGAATGTGATCGACTACTTTCAGTTCGGCCATTGTACGTGTTCCTCAGATACAGTTAATTTTGTCAACGCACAACTTGGTAGAGACGTCCAGATAGGTTTTATTCATGAAGTAACTTCCCAGTCTGGTGCATTATTACTATCTCAGCTGCATAATAGCACCTCTTGTGAACTGGTGTAGATAGTAAAAGCACCTTTTATCACTATTTCCTTTTGCAATGAAGTGCACTGGACGTCTCCTTGGGAACACTGGATTATTTTTTCTTGTACAACCTTATTTTCTCCACGTGTCGTGATGAGCTTATTTCAGTACCAGTTTTCACCCAGTGTGGACGCCGAGAACTCTTATATCTTAGTTTACTGGTGCTGAGCACTATGTTAGGGAAAGAGCAAATTGCATCTGGAGCCCAAAGGTGTTTACCCAGGATATTAGGTCAGCACCTAGCGGCAACAAACAGATGGTTGTCTTGCAGATCGAAGGCTTCATCGGCGTCCTTGCGGTTTTCAGTGCTCCACATCGTGATCAGCTATCTCCACAGATTACTGAACACCACATGTGTTTAAACAGGCGACCCTACACCAATTAACGACACTGAAAACCCAGAACAACGCACTAGTGACTATCGGCTTCCCTGTTCCAGTTCATTCGGTACAAAGAAGAAACGTTACCCGACTGGATGCGTTCAACTGCTATTACCTTCTATAAAGGGGCTATACTTTAGGGAGCGTCTAGTTAACAGTATGCGTTCCGTCTTACCAAGTCATTTATCACATTGCAGCGGCTCGATGATCCTGTTTAATGACGAGTCAGTACTAATCAGACTGCCTTCCATCCCGGTGGAGCATATGTTGCTCACATCCTTACTCCTCGATAGGTACTTCAGCGTCCTCATGCTACTTACAAGCAATGCGCCATGTTAGTCGTCCTTGCTGTTGCTTATTTTTGTTGCGTGTATATTTTTGGAGGGCATACCGGAAAAGTTAAATTATTCCAAAATCTCTTCCTCATCTCCCTTGACCGTGTGAGCGTCTATGGAAAACTCCTACTTGAATTCACCTCAGCTACATCATCCTTTCGCTGCATTTCGACTTCATGGTCGAAGTATTCATGAATACTTCTCTTCCGTATCCTTCCACTTCTCTTTGGGTCGAAGTTATGTTTACATCCGGCTACAATGCGAACGCTACTGAATAAACTGACATGAAGCTGCATTTTTTGACACCTGGCACTTTTAGGGCGCAAAGTGCTGCTACATTAATGAGCTGATTCGCCACTTTTTTTAATAACCTCTCCGAGTGTTCGATCGGCCTCCGTACACCAGTTGTATCACCTCTGATGGCGATGCGCCCATTTCTAAGCCCCGGTCATTTATAGTGATTGCATGATCTAAGCGTGTTGATTGGGGAAGGTTTCCGATGGCACGGTGCTTCCAGTGTTACTCTATTGATCAGAGACCTCAGTGGGACATTGTAGTCTAGCAATTGTGCTGATTTCATGGGGAGTATTGGGCCCCTGTTTGGCGGTCTACCAAACGAAAGACACATGAACTGAACATTCAGTCAGCCACTCACAATGAGCGCGATTCCCTGAGGGTAGGTTATTTAGCCAAAGGCTTGGGGTGGGGTCCCCTAAGTCAACTCCCTACTTCGGCTTGGGCAACCGGGTCGTATCACGCTTTCTCCCAAAGCCAGGGACTACGACAACGTGCTCAACAGCTACCGTTTCTGCTTCTCACATTCACGCGACTTCATCACACGCCAATTGTTTGTTTGCTAACAAACCTTACTTTCCTTCATCTTATTCGTGTGTTCAAAATCTAACTGCGATGTCGGTTGCACCGCGAACCACGGAGTTCAACCTATGGCTCTCCTTCGTCCCCGATCCTTGTTCCGTCTGGCGTGCTTCACCGTTCGGACACTCATGCAGAATGGACAGCAAGCCGGTCTAGCGCACACCCTAGAGTCCATCGATATTAATGTCTGCTGCCTTTCAGAAACCCGATTACAAGATCCCAGCACTGTGCTTACGTTGACATCTCCCACTGATCACGAAGCCAGATATCACCTGCGTCTTTTTGGAGATCCAGAAGTAGCCTCAGCAGGTTTGGCTGGCGGAGGTATAGCACTAAGTGGCAAGGCCGAGGCGGAACTACTGGACTGGTTCACGATTGTCTGCAATTCGGCTTCGGGGTTCATGTAGAATCAACGAACGCCGCGAAGAGGGACGCAACTTGTTTGTGGTCTCGGGGTAGGTTACATCTGACTGCAGTGGCGGTTCGGTCAAGGACGATTTCTACCGTGATCTACCACAGATTTTGATTAATGCTAAAATGTCGGATATCATTATCCTTGCTGGAGATTTTAATGTACGGGTTGGCCGCCTGTTACTATAGGAACGCCGCCTTGGTGGTCACCACGCGCTCGATGAGAACCGCTCTGTTAACTGGGGGAGGCTTCTCACATTGTGCGAAGACAACCATCTGTTTCTCTCGTGCACTAACGTCAGGAATAGGAAGAAGCGTTCCTCAACGTGTTATCGCCCTTCGCCAACACAACCGTTGTCTCAGATCGATCACATTGCAATTAGCTTCAGATGTCGTGGCAGCCTACTGGACTGCAGGTCCTTTTGGTCCACCTTCGTTGACCCAGGTCATGCACTGGTCTGCGCGAAAATCGGAATGTGTTTTGTGGGTCCCGAAACACGAAGCACCGCAAGATTAGTGTAAACAGATTAACTGATTCCTCAGTCCAGGCGAGCTATCAGTCTTCACTTTTATACGCCCTCAGTTGCAATCCACCGCAAGACGTGGAACAACACTGGAATTGTATACAGAAAGCGATGAGCATTTCCGGACAGTCAAGCTGCAGTCTAGCTCGACGCCCCTTAAAGGTTAGGATCTCTGCCGGCTCTCTGGAGCTGTTCGACTGCCGCAAAGATATCCCGGCGGAATCAGATTGCAACGAGCGGCGCCGTTCTGTCAACCGGCTGCTCAAGCAAAGCCTACACAAGGATCGCATGGCATGGTGGTCTGAGCGTGTTTTAGAGATGGAGACTGCTGCCCTCTCTGGCAACACTCGCAAGCTTTTCCAACTCATTTGGTCCACTGGCCTTAGGACGCCTGGTGTCAGTGAAGTTATTTGCGACGTGGATTAGACTCCGATTACCAACCAACAGAGGCGTATGGACCGCTGGGCCGAGTACTTTCACTCGCAGTTCAACTGGCCTCCAACGTCCATCAGTACATGCAGTACACCTTGTTGTCCACCCTGGCTCGTCCCACTGAATCCACCCAGCGAAGCGGAAGTCTACCTTTAAGGTTCGACGCTTGAAGCGGTGCAAGGCTGCCGGCTCAGACGGACTTCTTCCAGAGCTGTTCAGATGAGGCGGCGTGGCGAGCATTAGCAAGCTGTCCTCGCTGTTCGCGAAAATCTGACATGCAATGCGTTCCTTTTGGGCCGAATCAATTACTGTCCCGATTTTCAAGAACGGCGCTCGCACTTCATGTGCAAATCATCCCGGTTTTCTCTTATTTCGGTTGCCTCCAAGCTATTGGCATCCATTTTGCTTCGCAGGCTATCCCCAATACGTGAATCAGACTACCGTGAAGAACAAGCTGGTTTCCGTCCTGGCCGCGAATGAGTGGATCAAATCTTCACGCTCCGCCAGCTCCTCGAACATCACCACATTTATCACAGGCCCACTATCATTGCATTCCTAGACATACGTGCCGCTTTTGACTCCGTTGGTCGATCTGCTTTATGGCGTTGCTTACTAAAGAACGGGGTGCCAGAGAAATATACCGCCATCTTACGAGCACTTTACCTTCTTACATACGGCAGAGTGAGGGTCTATGGCAAGCTTTCCTCGCAATTCGCTGTCCATAGCGGTGTGCGACAAGGCTGCCCTATGTCCCCATTCCTCTTCAACTTCGCAATCGAAGACGTTCTGTCGAATGCTCTAGAAGGTTTCCAACATTTTGGCCTAAAGCTTCTACCGGGTGAGC